GTGTGTGTGTGTTTTGTTTTGGGGGTGTGGTTGGTCTATCCCTGAATCTGTGTCTCAAGGCCAGCTTTCTGCTTTTTACCTTATCACCTAAACTCTGCCTTCTATCTTTAAGGTTTTTTGGGTGTGATAGGCAAGAAAGAAAAGAAATATAAACAAACCTAGGAAGTACAACCTTGGGTAACTGTCCTATGAAGTTCCTGTCTTCTTGAAAGTGCAACTTTAAAATTGTTGTTTTCCTTGTTTCCTTCCTACCTATCTTTATTTTTTCTGTCTAGCCTGGCCTTTGATGCAGTGTTAAAGCCAGGTGAGTTTTACAGTTTTCATATTTGTTGTATAGGCAGTCAGGTGTGGTCCAGGTAACATGTGTGATATGATGTGGTTGTATGCACTACTGTGTTCCAGAAAGCACATCTCGCCACAGTACAGTGCTTATATCACGCTCTGGGTGATGTGTGAAGGGTGCGTGCATAGGTTGGCCCTGGATAACAGCCCTACACAGCTTCTTACATAACACCCTCTGACCACATGTCAGTAGTTCTGCAGAGCAGTAAATGAATCCAAGCTGAGTGAGGTAGTGAAAGTAAGCAGTTTTATGTTAGCTCCAGTCATGTTTGGTTGCCACCTAAATTACAGAAATATGTCCACTGTTCAGGACCTTATCGGGTCACAATTGTAGCTAAAGGATTATGCATCTGTATTTCTAAAGTGCTCAGACAGCCTCGGGAAAAAGATTCCCACTGAGCTACATGCCTAGTACCTTGTATCTTGTCGGTTTTTATTTCAAACAAGAGTATCACCAAGATATTACAATGTCTGAACATGCAATCCTCCTGCCTCACCCTCCCATCGTGCTGGGTTTACAGGTATGCACTACCACACCTGGCTAAGAAAGGCATTTATGGCTCAGGTGCTTCCCTTCAGTGGAACCCTCTCTGACTACATTCTGACCTGCCTGTCTTCTTACATCATATTTATGTTCTTCACCTCTTAAGTTCGTTGTATATGCTTTCTTATGTTTATTGACTCTGGAATATGCAGTAGAGCCAGGGACTTTGTTTCAAGCAACATAACGAGTCTCATACATACTGTTGATTGGATGGATGGATTTTTCCTGAAACTTTGAATAAGTTATTGAAAAATAAGCTTCTTGTCTTTTAACAGTGGCAGTCATGAGTGGAAAAAACTAATTTTGACCCAACTCTGGCCTCCAACACTGTGCAAGGTGAGTTTTTCTCCTTGAGTGGGCCCCTTTGATGTGGAACCCTGCAAAAGGTTGTTTACAGGCACATGTGCCTGCTTGGTTCCTGTTGGCTGACTGAGCCTCCAACCTCTTTGCCCTGTCTGGTGTTGGAGGCTGGAGTTATTCTAGGCAAGTTGTGTCTGCAACAGGACACTGTTGCGGGAAGAAGGCCATGTTTCAGTTCCCTATGATGGCTGTAACAAAAGTCACAAACAGTGACTTAGAACATCAGTTCTCTTCATAGCTCTAGAGGCTGTTTGTCTGAAATCAAGGCATTAGTAGGTTTGGCTCCTTCCATTGGCTGCTGAAGGAGGTTGTCCCAGGCTTCTAGAACCTTGTCTCAATCTAATTTGTAACTGTGTCTCCGTTATCATGTCAACCTGCTGTGCTTTCAGTTTTCTAGCTGTGTCCTAGGCTTGCGGATACCTCACTTTCCTTGAGTTTGTCTGCCTTGTGTTTGTCTTTTATTATGTCAGTGAATGAATGCAGGGCTCTCCCCAATCTGGTATGAGCTCACCTTATATTGATTATACCTGCAAGGATCCTGTTTCCAAGTTAACAGATATAAAAACTGAGATGGGATATATTATTTGGGAGTCAAAATTCAACTCGTGATGAGGCTGGATTTGTCTCCTCCCTTCATGTTATTTTTGAAAGCTAATTAAGCATCTACTTGTGGAAGAGATCTGAGAAACAATGCCCGCCTCCTCTTTTCTGTTCAGCGGCAACAACAGCTTTCTCCTACTGTGACTCTGACTTGCCTTGTGTCTTTCATTTTTTTAGGACATCGTGCTGAGTCTCTTCCCCCTGGAGCCCTGCTTGCTTCCACTGTGGGGCTGGTTCTTCTCATGGGCAGTTACAAAACTGATCCTGGTGTCCTTTACAAAGTTTTCTATAGTATTTTACCATATTGCTGGCCTAACAGTAATTTCAGTGACAGTGTTCATGAAATTTTGCTTCAGAGTTTTGGGTTTTGAGACCTCTAAATTGTGCAAGATGAATGTAGCCGCCAGGTGCCCTATAGTTTGATCATTTCCTGCCATGTTGGGAGCAGTCTGGCTTTTTGTCTCACCTTCAGCATTGACTTTGACTAGTGAGGACGTTCTTACTTCCTCACTGATTCACTTTTCTGTTGACAGGCAAAAGTGAAATTTCACTCCTTATCTCACCAAATTATTCTTTTGGTTTAGAATCTAATTTGTAACTGTGTCTCTATTATTAAACTGATAAGGTTTCAGCTTTCTAAATATATTATATATTTTTTCTACTGGTACTATTTCTTTATTTTGGTGCCAGGGTGGAGTGGTGTGGGAGTGGAATGAAGTGCAGGGAGTCAGGTATTGCTGACCTCTGAAGGCTCCCTGTGTGCAGGAAGAGCTCAAGGTCAGCTCAAAAGCTCAAGGTCAGTCTTCAGTTTCGGATTTTCTGAGGAGAAATGGTTTTGTCCTTTAACCTCATATATTATGCAGCCAAGTGTCTTCCTGCTTTGAGGTTTTAGCAGCAAGATTTTTTAAAATGATTATCAAGATGTCACTGCTAGGCAGTTTATTTCAAACAGGACGGCTGTGATAAGAAAGTGCTGGTATTGCAGGCCAGGTGTACTGGCTGCAGGGCTGTCTCTGGGCTTCTGTCTCAGATGTCTACAGTATAGTACTGAACGGTCAGTCCTGGTTTTGATAGGACAGTCCACTGTGTCCTCACCCTCAAGCACTGTAGGAGCTGATGAGTGCTTGCTAGGGAATGCGAGAAACCAGCCTCTCATTGGAATTACCTCCTTATGACCCATGTTGGTGCTGGCTTTGCGCTTCACAAGCTGTAGACTGCAGAAAGTGAGGTTTCCTTGGGGACGGCACTGGAATGGAAGTTGAAGTGTGTGGACTCTGCAGGCTGCTGCCCAGCTGTTCTGTGGCATGCAGCTGTCACTGGGTACTTTAGTCACTGAAACCAGGGTACTTCCTCATCTATGGACCACCCTGAAAAGAAGCTGCCTTCTCACAAAAGGTGATACACAGAGGAAAGGATTGGGAAAGATGGAGCATGATGTCCATCTTTGTCTTCCCTCAGTGGCTCAGACTTTCCTTTATTTGCTTAGTCCCTGTGGGGGACTGGGCCTGAGGTCAGTTTCACTTGGGCTGGTGGCTCCATATCCGTATTTCTTTTTTAAAAAATTTAAGTTTTTTGGTTCAATTTAGGTGCATGTAGTAACCACATTCATTATAAGGAATTTGTATCTCTACATGGCATATTATCTTCAGTCCTCTTTTTTGTTTTTCTCAATCCTATTCCCTCTTTTCAAATCCCCTTCCGCTCCCCATTCACAAACCTCATTTTTCATTTTTATCCTTCTTTTCTCATTTTCCGCCCTCCTTTCCCCTCCCCCTCCCTATTTCCCTTTTCCCTTTGAATGGTTTCTTCCTATTGCACAATACCTATTGTACATTTATGTTTTCACTTACATTTTCAGTTTCTCACACCAGAAAGATCATGTGATACTTATACAGATGTGCCAGATTTATTTCACTTATGATTATGGTCTTAAGGTCCATTCATTTAGCTATAAAATCTCAATTTTATCCTTCCTTATGGCTGAGTAATTCTTCATTATAAAAAGAAACACACATCTTTTTTACCCATTCATTGATTAATGGGTATTTTGATTGCTTCTAAGATTTAGCTGTGATGAACAGCGCCACTCGAAACATGGGTGTGCATGTACCACTGTGGTACAGTGCTTTTGTTTTCATTTTTTATTTTTTTGTATTTTTAGGGAACGGCCTACAGGGTGTTCAGGGTCTCACTACTAGATCAGACTTGTAGTGATTCACCTATTTACAGCCTCCCAAGAGCTGGGATTATAGGCACGTGCCACCACACTCAGTCTCAGTTGCTGTCTCAGCATGCCCTGGTTGTGAGGCCGGCATGGCAGGCCCAGGGATTGAGCCCCTGGCCCCTGTGCCTGCTTTCAGGCACTTTAATCCGCTGAGCTATTTAGCTGGCCCTTGGTATAGTGCTTTTAATGCTTCTGAGAAGATACCCAGAAGGGGAATAGCTGGGTCACATGGGACCTCTAGTCCTAGTTTTTTGGGGTTTTTTTACTCCTAGTTTTTTGAGGACTGTACACACTGATTTCCACGGTGGTTGTACCAGCTTACTCTCCAACAGTGGAGAAGAATTCTTTTTTCCCCACAGCCCTGCCAGCATTTGTTATTAATTGTTCTCTTTATAACAGTTATTTTTTCTGGAGTTAGATAGAATGTCAGTTTAGACAAGATACCATGTACTGTGGTATCTTGTACATGTATCTTATCAGTACATCTTGTACTGTGAAGACAACAGTATGCAATGTATTAATTATTGTAATTGTCCTACTAATCTATTTTGTAACTGTCTTATTGCTATTTCTTTCTCAATAAAATTAATTTAAAAAAACTAATTTCAAGAGATAAAATATCAGTGTTATTTTAATTTGCATTTATTTATTTATTTTTTTTTTTTTTGCGGAACCGGGGATTGAACTCAGGCCCTTGCGCTTACCAGGGAAGCGCTTATTCCACTGAGCCATCTCCCCTGCCCAATTTGCATTTATTGAATGACAAGTAATGTTGAACTTTTTTTTTTTTTTACATATTTGTCATTTGTACTTATTCTGAGAAATGTCTGTTTATCTCAGATACCCATTGTTGGATTAGGTCTTTTAATTAGGTATTTGACTAGATATTAGTCCTTTGCCTGAAGAACAGGTGGCATAAATTTTGTCCCACTTTGTGGTTGTCTCTTTACTCTGCTGGGGTTTTTTGTTTTGTTTTGTTTTTCTGTGAGAAACATTTTTAGTAAGATGAGATCTCAGTTGTTGATTCTTTGTGACAGTTCTTATGTGATCAGGGTTTTGCTCATAGAGTCTTTGCTTGCAACAATGTCTTTAAGACTTTTACATAGTTTCTCTTCCAGCAGATTTAGTGTTTCTGTTATAATATTTAGATCTTTGATCCATTTTGATTTTAGTTTAGTGCATCGTGATAGACATGGTTCTCAGTTTTAGACTGGCTTCTTCAGCATATAGAAGCCAGTTTTTCCAGCACCATTGATTAAATAGGCTATCCTTCCAGTAAGTATGCTTAGCCCCTTTGCCAAAAATCAGGTCCATAAGTGCATTTAATTTTTTTTTTTTTTTTTTTTTTTTTTGAGACAAAGTCTCACTATGTAGTTCAGGTTGGCCTTGAAGTCAATATGTACCCCAGACTGGCCTCGAACTCACAGTTCTCCTTCCTCAGCCTCTTGAGTGCTGGTGTTACAGGCATGTGGCATCACACCTAGCTCAAGTATATTTCTTGTTTTTTTTTTTTTTCTTATTGTGGAAAAATTGTATCTTAGGTAAACCATTGATAGGCCTCTGAAAATGTGTTTGTTGCACTGAGATTTTTATTGTAGGTTTTATCTTTATTACCAACACCGAGAATATACTCCAATTCTCACCTCATTGTATTTGTTGGCTTCAGGTTTTTGATACTTACTATACTACTACACTAAAGTACTTGGACCAGGTCCAAGTATAACAGGGTATTATCTGCCTTTGTTCAGAACATTGATTTCTGATTATGTTGTGAGCAGATTATTCAGGTGCAGAAGCATTTCTGTTTTAAAGGCAAAAATGACTGTTTCAAAAATGACTGTTACCTAAGTTGTTTGAGACCTGGCCTAGGACATGAAGCCCCAGTGTTTTTTCTGCCTGTTATTAAAATAAAGGTACTCTACGGTAGTAACTCTGGGCTCACCTTGGTTTAGTAAAGCCCCTGTTTCTCCCTGATGTATGTTGAAAGGAAGTAGGTTGCTAAATGTTCTTATTATTAAACAGTGAACCAATTATCTTGTGTCTTTTCTCCCCAGGAAGTTAATGACTGTGAAAAATCTCCTGATTATTGGACAATACACGGACTATGGCAAGCATCTAATAAAATAAAATGATGAAACGGTAGAAGCTAGCTAACCTGAAATTCTAGAGTGACTCTCGACTTATTAATTATACTTGTTATTTTTGTTAGGAATTTATTCAGTAGATGAGATCCTTATTTTAAAATAGTTCTAGTTTCTCGACACATCCCTAATTCTGTCATTTACTTCTGTTTTGGTAGAGTAAGAGCAATGAAGTTCAAATATACCTTTAGGAATTCTGGGAACATTTTAGAATCCCAACAATTTAATTTTTAATTTAGTTAAAATTAAATTAGTAAAATGAATAATTAAAATTTAATTTTCAAATTTAAATTTTCATTTTCAAAATTAACTTAGGATCCTTAGAATATTAATTTTTTATTTTGCTCTTTCTTTGGAACCCATTATATAAAAAACATGTGGTCATATATATATATATACGTTTGTGTGTAATAGAAGGAAAATGAGAACAAATCCCTGTCATGCACTTCACAGACACTGTATTTTTCTGGTTTTGATTACATTGTATTTAGTATACATATATGTATGTATTTGTGATTTTAAATTATGCACATTAGTTTCCTGGAAGGAATCTATTTTGTTGTGGTTCTTATTGATACCTGCTTGTCCTTTAGGAATGGGGTTGGGGACTAGGAAATAGATTAAATGGGACCTGGCTTATAGTTCTGCTTTCTGGGACCTTTGTCTTAGATTTTGCTTGATTGCTCTGCTCCCCCGCGGCTTATTTGTAAGCTGCAGTGAAGGCCTGCAGGCCTCTGTCCTTGCAAAGGGGAGGCTGTGCTGCTTGCAGCTGCCAGGCAGCCTCCTGGTGACAAGGCCACAGCGTCCTGGCCTTCATGGGGAGCTGAGGGATCCTGGAAAGTCAGTGTAGGGACTTCATGGACTAAGAGCATCTAGGGAAAGAGTGGCTGTGTCCAGAGTCAAATGTGTGAGGAAAGAAATTTCCAAATCAGTATGTGAATTTGGTACTAAAAAATAAAAACAAAAATCATACTAGCTGATATTGTGGCCAGGCATTTCTGGACATGTTAGTTGCATGTTATCTCATTGACTGTATCACATTTTAAAGAGGGACAAGCTCTTTTCTTTTCATGCTGCATTTTGCAATGGCCATGGCCCAAGTCAGTAGCTTAGCATCACTGTGCCCCTGGGGGGCCAATTTAAAAGTTCCTCTATTATGCTTCCTCTATTAAAGAGCCAGCATGTGTAGCTTAGTCCTGCACTTTTTAACTGTTCATGACAAAGCCATAATCTGTAGTGTTGCTGTCTGGTGGCTTGTACTACTGGTGGTGCATGCATGCTGTCCCAAGCATGACTACCACTATTACTACCAGTGACATAAGTGGCCTGATTGGACAGTTGTACTTGTACTACTGGTGGTTCAAGGCAGCAGGAATGTGTTCAACACTATCTCTGTTCTTCCAAAGAAACTAGAACCATGACTATTTATTTCTGAGCAGTCTTTGTTAAAAGATTTATAGGATATATTCTTTTTTTTTTTTTTTGGCGGAACCAGGGATTGAACTCAGACCCTTGCGCTTGCCAGGGAAGCGCTTATTCCACTGAGCCATCTCCCTGGCCCCTATAGGATATATTCTTAATTAGAATTTTTCTTTTCAGACTTTAAAGTATTCTAATGTCATATAGATGCCATCCTAACCAAGATTAATATTTCTCTCTCTCTCTCTCTCTTTTTAATTTGGACTTCAAGGCCTGACAAAGTGGAAGATTGTAACTCATCATGGCACTTTCATTTAGATGAGATTAAGGTATTAATTTTATAATCTTTCTACTGCAGTAGAACATTCAACTTATGTTAACTCTGTTCAAAAGTATACCTTCAAAAGCATTAGGATTGAGCCCCAGGTAATGTTGTAGTAATTATTAATATCTAAAGCAGTCCTGTGAATTTAATAAAAATTGACTTTTCTCCTGGGCGAGTCCATAGCATGGGTGAGCTGGGGAAGAAGGCCGAGAGAGGAGCAAAGACCCTGATATTTGTACCCCAGCCCCCATTAATCTCCAGTCCCCAGGGCTCCTGGCTCAGTGCGAGAAAGTGGGTGCCTGGAGAAGTATGCTAGGCAGCTGTGCTGGAGAATGGGCACATAGCACTGAGGGCTGACCTTACCAGCTGTAGGTGGGTTGAGTGCTCCACAGTGGCTCTGAGCTGGAAGAAAATGATTGGCCCTTCCAGTACAAAAGGTCCTTTTAAACAGGGAGCCATAAGAATGCAGTCGGGTATCAACAGAAGTATTCTTTTGAAATACCTCTAAATGTGCAGTGTAGCATTGCACCATGCTCATTGTTCTTTGAGGGTCTGATAGTCCTTGTAGTGCTCTGTCAGGGTGGAGCAGGACTGAACACATAGATATAGAGGGACAGAGACAGCCTGGATGAACACCAGTATTTAAAAACAGGATTGAAAAGGGGCCTATGAAAATGGAATCAGGAGGAAGAGAGGCTGAGGAGAAGAGGGTACAGTTGATGAAGAAGTATCATTAAAAGGATCCATAAAAGGAAGGTTGGAATCACTTGGGTCAAGGGTATTTCCAGGTCTTTGGTAGTCATGTTATTGCTCCTCACAACAGTCCTCGTTTACTTGTGTAGCATAATATTCAACTTAGCATTTGTCCCCAAAAAAGTAACCTAATTTGGAAAATATACTGCATCATCACCCTGTCATGCCAGAGGGCTGATGGGACCCAGATTGAGAAGTAACAGTGAGCAAGGTAGAGAAAGGGAGACAAGAAATGAGGAGGGGAGGTAGGTGGTTATGAGAAGGCCATGGTCACTTTCCTCTGTGGCCCCATAATCTCCTTGATCAGAAAATTTTGGACATCACTGAGTTACAGGATGTTACAGTACAGGTTCTCTTATGTCCTAAGTCCTCACTGACCTTGAAAGGCTCAAGGTCATTTGGCCTCATTAGGGCCAAAATGTTGGCTGTTGTTGCAGCCCTTCTTTTTCTCCAATTTCTGGTCTGCAAATGTAGATTGTCAACCCTCCAGAAGAGAGGCTTAATGATATTATTACCCTATAACATAGGCAGTTAATGGGGCTGGGGAGATGGCTCAGGAGAATAAGCGCTTCCCAGTGCAAGGGCCTGAGTTCAATCCCTGGTTCCGCCACAAAAAAAAAAAAAAAAAAACATATATATATATATATATATATATATATATATATATGTGTGTGTGTGTGTGTGTGTGTGTGTGTGTACATATATATATGTGCAGTTGAGCTGAACCTCACTATCTGTATGAATATCAAATCTTAGACATAGCATGGAACAGGTATTTTCTATCAAGCATTGATATGTTAAACTTTAAATCCCTATAGAATGTGAAGAAAAATTAAAAAAGATTTAAAAATAGGAATATTACATATTTTTACATAGAAATTTATCAACGATGTAGAGTGTGCCTAAGGAGCATCACATGGAAAGAAAACATTCTCTCAGGCTTTCACAGAGAGCAAATTGGTCAAGCAGTAGCCATGACTCATCCACATGGCTGACACTGACAAAGGATCTACAAACTGTGGTACAGGGTTACAGGGTACATCCTGAGGGGATTTGACTGACTTGTCACATACGAAAGTTACATTTCTTGTTAGGTCTTTATCTTGGTCTTAACCATCCAGCAGAAAAGTATATAAAAAGTAAAGCCATATTAATATGCTGAGCTGTAAAAGGGTCAAGTCAACAACTTCTGACATTGCCAGTCCTACAGATAACCCACTACTATTATGGACTACTGGACTAGATTGAATTATTTTGCTGAATTCATGCACCTGCACATTTATTTATTTATTTATTTATTTATTTTTTTTTTTTTTTGTGGAACCAGGGATTGAACTCAGGCCCTTGCGCTTGCCAGGGAAGCACTTATTCCACTGAGCCATTTCCCCAGCCCCATCCTACAACATTTAAATGGCAATGGAATACCCATCTCTGACAAAACTAAAGACAAAAAGGGGATATAAATGAAGGACCATTTTGTACCTGTATATACAAAATAGTTAGGATAGATATACAGCTACTCTCTCTTAATTCAATGAGAAGAAAGATTTGTACTAATGGTATTTGGACAGGATATCATGTCTGCATTTTGTACTATGGATAACCACTATGAAGACAACAATATACAATGTATTAATTATTGAAACTGTCTTACTAATCGGTTTTAATACTGTCTCATTGCTACTTGTTTCTGAATAAAATTAATAAAAAATTAAAATAAGCAAACAAAAAAAAAAAACAAAAGAAGGCCATGAGGAGAGGTCCTCTTAATGGGAGTGGTGTAAGGCATGGGAAAGTGAAGCTATCCTATGTTTATGAATTTTATTTGTTTGTTTTGGTCTAATACCAGTTGGTATATATAGAGTGAAAAATGAAATTAAGTTGGGTTTAGGGTGACCATCTACATAGCATAGGAAGCCTCAAGTCAGATAAGCTCTCCTCTGAAAATTTGAGCTTGTATTTGTTTTGACAGCCATTAGTTTTAGAGCAATTTTAAGTTTACAGAAAATTGGCTGGACAGTATAGATTGCAGTTTCCCCTACTAACATCCTCCAATAACAGAATGATTTCTGGGTAAAAGACCATGCACCCTTACCAGCCTCAGAAGATAGGCTCTCCTGTCCCACATCAGCAGTTATTGCAGCTTCTCCTGTTCACATCCTCCACCACCAGGGTATGTTAGTCACCACTCCAAAACCAGTACTAATCCCTCCTCCTCCTTTTTCTTTTTTCTTTTTTTTTTTTTTCCTCCTCCTTTTTCTTCTTCCCATTTGTCTTACATTTTTCTTGTTACTGAGACAGAGTACCTGACACCCAAAGTTAGGGAAAGGTTTGTGTAGCTCATGATTTGTAGAGGTTTCAGTTTAACTGGCTCCAAGGCAGAGTGGTACATGGCACAGGGGCAACTGGTTGTGGTGGCAGAAGACCGCAAAAGCCACAAAAGCAAAAAGAGGACACAAGCCTCTTTCTGCCCTTCTTATCTTGGCTGCTGGGATCAGGGCTATAACAATCCAGTCAGTGTACTGATCCAGCAGTCACCCAGCCTTAATGTCAGCACCCTTAGTCCCAGTATTGCACTACAATTTAGTCATACACTAGATTCAGCCACCTCCAAAAAGCCTACCCCTCATGACTGCATGAGATATTCGAGGGACATCCAGACACAAACCATAACACTTATTATTAGACAGGGCCTTGCTATGTAGTTTAGGCTGGTCTTGAACTCACTGTGTAACCCAGGCTGGCCTTGAACTCACAGTGATCCTGACTCAGCCTCATGTTGTCTGGCTGTTGATACCTTAACTACATTTCATAGTTTGCATGGGGGTTGGCTGTGTGTGTTGTATGGTTTCACAGGTTTTGGTAATGCTAGAAGGTGGCATCCCCACAGCAGTGTGTTTGGAGCAGTCTCACCTGCCCGACCTCCTTTATTACCTAATAGGAACCCCTGGCAACTGCTGATTTCATTTTGTCTCTTAAGATTTTGCCTTTTCTGGAATGTCATATAGTTGGAATGACAGAGCAGCTAGACTTTTCAGGCTGTCTTTCACTTAGGAATATAAGTTTTAAGTTTCCTTCATGACTTTCATGGCTTCATAGCTAATTCTTTTAGTGTTGAATAACGTTTCCTTATGTGTACCATAGTTTAAGCCATTCATTTACAAGAGCTTGTGTTTTCCACATGCTGGTATGATTACTCAATTTCACTTTTACATGTACTTTTATGTGATAAAGTTTATGCAGAATAAAGAATTGTTTTATTCACTTAAATGCTACTAATAAGCAGGACTCAATTTTTAAAAATATATTATCAAATTTACTCTCTAAGTTTTGAGTTTCTTCTGTCTTACATGGATTTTTTTTCTTAAATTATGCATAGGATCTTTTCCAGGATATGAATCTGTACTGGCCTGACATAAAGCACCCGCTGAACGGCAGCAGATTCTGGTAAGTGCAGCTTTCTCGCAGTCAGTGTGCACCTTAACCCTAAGTGTGGGCTCTCTGCTCCCTGGCTGCCTTGCCAGGAGCAGCTATTCCTCTGCCGTGTCTCTGTGTAACGATCTGCTGCCCTGGAGCTACTAACTCTAGACTGGGATAGGAGCCAAATGAGCCAAAATAAACTTCTTCTCATTGAATTTGCAGGGTCAGCTGTTGTGTCGCAGTGACAAGGAAAACAAGCTCATTCCTGATTTCCTCCCTTCTTTCTTTCATCCTGTGGTACCAGGAATCAAACTTGGGAACTTGCGCTTGCCAGGCAGGTGCTTGTGCTGCTGAGCCCTGGCCTCATGACTTCATTTTTAAAAATTTTTCAATTGAAGTTTAAATAAATCAAATAATTCTTTATCTAGGAATTAGTGAAAATCAGACAAGAAAGATATCCTAAGGAAATCGTACTGCTGCCTGGAAATGTGTTAAAAGGAGAACCTGGGATGGTGGCGCATGCCTGTGATCCCCTACTCTGGGAGGTGGAGGCAGGACTGCAGGTTGGAGCACAGCTGGGTCAACTTAACTATGCTGTGAGACCAAACTCAGCCTCGAAAATGGAAAAAAATAAAAAATAAAAAGAAATGACTTGGGATATAGCTCAGGGTAGAAGCTCTGAGTTTGATTCTCAGTACCACCAGAAAAGAAAGGGAAAATGGGAAGGGAAGACCACATACCTTCTCACTGGGAGGAGAGAGGACAGGATTCTTATCTGAGGCGGAGGCCTCAGTTTAATAAAGCAAAACATTTGTGAGGTTTGCAGGCTCTGTGCCTAGGCTATGTGTTGAATTCATGATAGTTTGTAAAACTATTGCTTTTTAAGAAGATAAAATTGACATTTGTGTTATATCAACTGAAGGTAATTCTGTTTTCACATGTCTTCCTGTAATATCATAATTTAAGAGTATAATGAAGTAAATTTTCTCAAAAGCATTAATGTAGACATTTTTATGTAGAGCTTTTTGTTAAAAAAAGAAAGCTCGAGTTTAGCGAGACTTTTTTAAGAAGCCTGGTTCATCAACACTGAGTTTGACATTTCACTCAAGGGTGTGGTTTCAGGATTCCCTGACTGAAATCTGCCAGTTGAAATCACCCTTCCAAAAGGAGAGCCACTCGGTGAAAATGTTGCTGATGAATAGCTCAGGTCTCGCACTTAATTAGCACAAAATTGGTTTAGAAAAATGGCTTCTAAGTAGACGGTGGCCATAGTGAGTCAAGATGGAGGGAAACAGCACTTACGTGAAACTTTGCAGTGTACTTCAGAGACAAGTGTCAGGGTCTGCCAGTCAGGTGTACTGTAACAAGAGCCTGAGAAAATCAGTTTAAAAAGAGGAAAGATTTTATTTTGACTCTTGCTTCCAGAGGTTGGTCCCCCTGTGGTGGCATTGAATGTCATCATGAGAGCATGTGACAGAAGAAGCAAAAATAGCAAGTAGGAAGGGTACAGGATTTCATCCCCTTTAAGAGTTCAAACTGGGTGTGGCAGCACACGCCTGTAATTTTAGAGCTTGGGAGGCTGAGGCAGGAGGATTGTTGCAACTTTGAGGCAAGCCTGGGCTGTGTAATTCAGGGGCAGCCTGAATTACAGACTGAAATCCTGTCTCAAGAAAAAACAAAAACAAGACTGGGCGTGGTGGTGTGTACCTGTAATCCCAGCTCTTGGGAGGCTGTAAACAGGTGGATCACTGTGTCAGATCTAGTAGTTAGACCCTGAACACCCCGTAGACCCTTCCTTAAAATACAAAAACAAAAACAACAACAAAAAACAAAATTAGTGGAGGCTCCTCTGTGGAATAGTCCAGTGCTGTTCTGGTGACTGGCCATCCTGTCCTTTCATGTCTCCTTATAGAGAAGGGAGGTTTGTGCTGCTCTCTGAAGCCCTTTGCTGTCAAGCACCAGCTCTCAGGAGATCCATGTTGTTCAGCGTGGTGGTGTCTGAACAATGGCATTTTTTCCTCTCAGCTTTGATTTGCTGTTAATTGAGCAAGCCATGATTGTAGAGGTGAATGGAAGTTAATGAGTGGGGCAAAACGAGATGGGGTGGGCTTTTGGAACAGTCATGGGATACTGGAGTGTTGTTCTAAGTTCAAGAAAACTACTGGGTTGCCTACATTGCAAGTTAGGGGTTGTGTCCTTCCCATTTGGTAATGCAGTGGTGTGCCCACTGTGTGGCTGCTATGTGTGAGGAAAACATCTGAAATTGTCCTATTGTGCCCTGCAGGAAGCATGAGTGGGAGAAGCATGGCACCTGTGCTGCCCAGCTGGATGCCCTCGACTCCGAGAAGAAGTACTTTGGGAAGAGCCTGGTGCTGTACAAGCAGCTTGACCTGACCAAGTGAGTGCACTCAACCTGGCTTTCGGCTCCAGGGGCCAGGCAGGCATGAGCAGGGATCGGTGATAATTGGTAGCCCTGCCAACATGTGCTGGCACCTTAAGAGAGGGCAAGCAGTCATTCCTGAGAAATACTCCAGGCTTTCAGACAGTAAGTTGGCTCTATGAAGAATGTCTTGTCAGTCATTGTTCCTGACAGACACTCTTCCCTGAGGTCCTGAGCGCCAGGCACCTTTGCCTAAGGCTGCTGTGGTTGTGGTGCCCTGGAACAGGCAGAAAATGGTGGGTAAGGGTCCTTTCAGCCCTTGAGGTGACCCAATGCATGTGGACTTGCTCCTGCCTGCACTCACCTCAGCTCCAGAGATGGGAATGTGTTGCCAATGGATTTGTAAGGACAACAAGCCCTCCAAGGGCCACTGTCTATCTCCCTCCTTACCAGTCATCATGAGGGAGTTTAGGACTGTCATTTCCCTTTCCACCTGGACACTTATGTTGTGTCAAGTGTACTAATTCTTCTTATGGTCCTTCATTGTAAGTGCCCATAGTAAACCAGTGAGCTAAATTTAAAAAAATATGACAAAGCAGAATGAGAGTTTTGGTGCAAGAGACTGACGACAGTGGGCTGAATAAATGCATGCGTCCCCCTGGACTTTGGTGGTTGGATCTTCACCCCCAAGGTATGAGGAGTGTGACTGCCCTTTTTAAAGACCTGAGAGCTATCTATCCTCTTCCGCCAGGGGGACAAAGATGGACATTTGCTGTCTGTGAGAAAGGAGCTGTCACCAGATGCCAGATCTGCCAGTGTTGATCTTACACTTTGTGAGAAATAAATGTCTGTTGATTATTTTAAAAAGAAAAAATGACAGATTATACAGTGTCTGCAGTGCTGGCTGTAATCTGTGCAGTTTCTTTAGTCTGAATGGTTCTGCTTCAGATGAGTCATCCCAGGAGCCTTTGCTCCTCAGCCATGTTTAGGTAGTATGAATCAAATCTGCTTCCAGGTGAACAAAGCTTCACGGTTCTCTAGACACATGTTCTACCTCCTCACACACAAAAGCATCCTCACAGATGGTTTCCTATGTCGTTTTGATCAAACAGCTGGGATTTGAATTGACAGATCAGGCATTGAAACAGACAAGGCTGAGTGCCTTTGCAAAAATGGAGCTACATCAAATAATACTCTGCCAAGGAGCTGAAGGTGTGTAAAGCTACCAACTTGCAGACTGTGAAGCATTTTTTGTTTTTGTTTTAACATTAGTGGGGATTGAACCCAGGAGCTGTCTTACCATTGAGCTATATCCCCAGCCCTTTGTTTTTATTTCTTTTTGGCAGAACTGGGGATTGAACTCAGGCCCTTGCACTTGCCAGGAAAGCGCTTATTCCACTGAGCCGTCTCCCTGGCCCTGTTTTTGTTTGTTTCTTGGTCTTTTTGACACAAGGTGTCATTGTTACACAGTTCAGGCTATTCTCCAGCTCACTTTGTAGCCCAGGCTGGTCTCAAACTCCCAAAGATCCTTCTACCTCAGCCTCCTGAGTACTAGGATTTACAGGTGTGTGCCATCATGCCAACTGCCCTTTGCATTTTTGAGACCAGATCTTGCTGACTTGCCCAGGCTGGCCTGGACGTGACATCCTTTCTCCCTCAGCCTCCTGAATAATTTGGATCACAGGGATGTGACACTGTGTCATGAGCACAGAAAGAGGATAAGGTGCCCTTTGACCCTATTTTTGACACTGGCTATTTGTTTAACCTACTTATATAATCTCTTTAGATCTTATTTCCATGATGTAAAATGAATAAGTGGGTCACACATGTTCCTTCAGTTTCTTTAGCTCTTGAAATCTGCATGATTCAGTGAAGATATTAGGAATTATAGGACCAGTAATGTGTGGCAGCTCCTGTGTGTGTTGACTAGTGTAGGTACTGTATGTTCTTTAATTTGTAGGGAGTATGAGGAAGTAGTGTGATCTTGCAGTAAAACTAAGACCTTTCACTTCCTCACCCACAAAATGTCAATAATGAGCACTTCAGCAACCACTGTGAGAATTAGCTAAAAGAATATGTTTCAGAATTGCAGGAGTATTGCAGTTAGAAGGAAACTTATTTCTGGAAAGTTGACAGAATAGGGCCCGCTGAGCCCTCCAAAGGCAGAGCAGTGCCCCTGTTTCTAGCATGGACCCCATTCTTGTTCTCCAGGCCCCACTGTGGCATGCAAGTTGAGGTTAACTGTGCAACAGGTTTCATTTATTAGGCAGGAAAAGGAGAATAAATAGATGTACTTAAGAAAAAATTTTAAATGATAGCAAGGTTATCTTTATTACTGATAGGAAAAGAAGAAAAGCTCTGCAGAGCAAATGTAGGCCAAGTGGAAATAGGAACGGAAGTATACCCTGCAGCATGAAGGTGGACCACCATCCAACGGAGAACACAGTGGTGCTGCCAAAAAGCTTTTATAGGCAGGTCAAATAGCTCAGCGGATTAAAGCTCCTGCAAGCAGTTGCAGGGGCCAGAGGTTCGAGCCCTAGGCCTGCCGTTCTGGCCCTGCCCCCGGGGCACACTGAGATGGCAGTTGATCCTGGGGGTGGTGGCGCATGCCTATATTCCCATCTTTTGGGAAGCTGTAAACAGGCAGATCACTATGAGTCCAATCTAGTAGTGAGACCCTGAACACCCTGCAGACCTTTCCCTAAATTACAAAAAAAAAAAAAAAAAAGCTTTTATATAAGCTGTATAAGTAATGTAGGACAGTAGGTCCTGTTTGCAGAATGTGGAACTCAGCAGCTTTTTGTATAGGCCTGGCAACTTGGGAACAACAAGGCCAGCCCTGCAGATCCTGTCACTGTTTGCTGAGGCCTGCTGAGCAACCAGCAGAGCTGGGAGTGCAGTGCCTATGAACCATCACATAGAATACAAGAGCTCTGGGAAAATTGCTATTCACCACTTTCTCCAAAGAAAGTGTGAAATTTTTAGCAGTCATAAAGTTAAAATTAAGGAGTCAAACTTTAGATCAAACACCTTTATTTTTGTTTTTAAGCCATTATAACAAGTTATCCTTTTTTCATATGAAAGCAGTAATCCTGAGAAACTAACTGCTGCACTCCTCTGAGTCCCCTCAGATGAAAACCTGAGTTAAACCAAACTCATTATAACTCTGAAGACAGGCTAAGCTGTGTTCTAGGCTAGCTACTGGGTTTCTCTGCATCTTTCTATCCTTGCCCACCTACACCAGGAGGGCACTGCCCAGCGGAAATAGAGCATGAGCCACAGATATTTGGGCTCAGTAACGTCATTAACAAAAGAGAAACATGAGGCCTGCTAGAGGTGCCAGGAGCTGCAGCTGATGCCAGCTCGGGCCCCAGAGAGGCAGCTGTGTCTTTCATCCATGTTTTGTGATCACAATCCAGAGCTATCAGAATGGGTTGGTGAGGACCCCAGAGAATTCTGGAATGCTCAGTCTAAGAATTTTTACATAAAATCCAACATTGTTCAAGGTTATCAGCATTTAATCGATTTTTTTTTAAATGTTTTGTGTCAGAGGTTTTTTTTTTTTTTTAATTTCATTGAGAAACAAAGAGCAGTGAGACAGTTTCAAAACTGATTAGTAAGACAGTTTCAGTAATTAATACAGGGGTTGGGGAGATGGCTTAGTGGAGTAAGCACTTCCCTGGCAAGCATAAGGACCTGAGTTCAATCCCCAGTTCCAAAAAAAATAATAATAATAATTAATACATTGCATATTGTTGTCTTTGTAATGGTTATTCATACTACAAGATGCAGACATGATATCCTGTCCAAACACTATTAGTACAAATCTTTCTTCTCATTGAATTAAGAGAAAGTAGCTGTATATCTATCCTATTTTGTATGTACAGATACAAAATGGTCCTTCATTTGTATCCCCTTTTTTTGTTTAGTTTTGTCAAAGATGGGTATTCCATTGCCATTTAAATATTGCAGGTGCGTGAATTCAGCAAAATAATCCAATATAGTCCAGTTGTCCATAATAGTAGTGGGTTATCCGTGGGACTGGCAATGTCAGAAGTTGTTGACTTAAGCCTTTTACAGCTCAGCATATTAATTTGGCTTTACTTTTTATACCTTATTTTTATACTTTTCTGCTGGATGGTTAACAGATTTAAAGATCAGCCATATGCAGTTTCCTAGGATAAACTGAGAACCCAGACCGCTCATTCGGAACATATGTCACCAGTGGGTGGTGCTGGTGTGCCCGCCTCGAAGATGTGGCGTGGGGAGCCATCTGGAGAGCGCAGGCCCTGGGAGAGTGCACCTGGGCAGCATGTGTGTGAGGCCAGGAGAGAGGACCAAGAGCCATGGGTCTGCTCTGTGGTGAGCAGATTTGTTGTTGGAGACATGGGAAATACGCACTAGCCTTTAAGATGTCTTAATTTTTACCATGAAACAAGATGTTTCAGAAGAATAAGAAAGGAAAATGGATCTTTATTATGCAACTTTTTTTTTTTAATTTCAGAGTGCTCCAGAAATTGGGAATTGAACCGTCTATCAATTACTACTATGTAAGTCTTACCTTTAGCTTCTGATCTAACGTATTACGGGCCCCTAGTATGTCATTGCACCCTTTTAGCCACTGCCAAGTTTTATTTATTTATTTACTTACTTACTTACTTACTTATTTTACTGGGAATCGAACTTAGGACCTTGCACTTGTGCCACTAAGCTATCTCCCAGGCCCTCACTGTGAAGTTTATTTTTTATTTCTGTATTTATTACAGGGTCTACAGGGTCTCACTACATAGATCATACATAGATCAGACTTGTAGTGATCCTCCTGTTTTCAGCCTCCCAAGCGCTGGGATTACAGGCGTGCACTACCATGTTCGGTCTCAATTGCTGTCTCAG